GGTTGTTAGCCAATTGTCTTCCACTTTATAATCAGAAATCAGTCCAGTGTGTTTTTTGATAGCGACCCTCTCTCAGTGCTGAATCCTTAGACATACTGCTCAATGAGGTAGCCTCTTTCCGGTACCTTGGTCTTTCTCTGACATCTAACCTTTTATTCACTCTTCATTAACATTCGTAAACTTCTATATTATCTCCGTCGATTACGTTCAGATCACACAGCTCTAACCCTAATCCGAGAACTTATAGATGCCTTAATTCTCTCCCTCATTCTCTACTGCTCTCCTGTCGTTTTTCTAGCGTTCCTTACAAAAAGACTTGTTGATTTTTAAACGTATCTTTCGAATGTTCGCTTAAGCTACCAATGTTTCTTATGACTTTTTAGCTGATATTACAATACAGCGACACTTTAAAATGGTCAAACAATTTGCTGATCGTATTCTCAATGATTTTGTCCATCCACTCCACTCTGATTGCAAAGTCTCGCCGTACTAGGTGTCGAAACTGCCGACGTGTGTTCTGCCGTAAATCGGCTTTTCAGCACTCTGTACTCCCATTCCTAGCACGCTACCTCACGTGAAAAGAAGCGGAAATTCAGAAGCTGCGATCAGATCTGTCTCCATGATAGAAGTAAATTTTATGCAAACTTCCAGATTTGTATGTTGATAATTAATTCCTTAGGCTCAGTAAAATGGAGCCACTTTTCGCTGAAAGTTTGGACGTCGCCTTCAAACTAAGGCGTATTTCTTTCAAACTTTCCTAATATGGTAGTCCTTGTAAAGGTTCTGCCACCAGATTGGGCCTGAGATACCAACATGCGAGCTCCTGGGCGAAGCGAAACTTAATTATTCCTCTACCAGATCGGCGAAGCACATACATTTATCATGTTCCCGATTTCAATCGACAAAGCAACGAGCCCGTGGTGCAATTGTAGAGTGGTAGACTCAATGACCAAAGGTCACGAGTTCGAATCTCAGAGGTTCCAACCCTTGAGATTGGATATGGCTGGCTGATGACGGCTAACAAGCTAGAAATGGCCATTCCGGTCTCCCTTTGCTGTGTCGGATCCATTCCATCCTATCCTCCTTCTCAAAACGTTGGCCTTCTCCATTCTGTAGGCTAGTAATTTCCCTTCGAACGGGTTTGCCCCCCTCCCCTCA